AATTTTTAAAAAGTAGTTGGATTTTTACGAAAATTGGTATCTAGGGGTTTTGGGAGTCGCTGATTACAAATTTATCGTCAGATTATTCAAATTCAAAATGGCGGATCCAATATGGCGGACGAGTTTTTAAAAAATAGTTGAATTTTTATGTAACTTGGCCGATACTGGGGTTCCGAGTCTCTGCATCGTAATACGTTTCCTACGTGTGTCTGCTATGACGGCATCAAAGCCATTATCCAGGGACTTAGCCGGATAGCGGACAAACTCCGTTGTCCACCGTCACCGCGTGGAGGTACCCTGGATGCAGACACATGTAGAAACATAAAGATATTTGACCACCGTACTATATCTGCCATTTTACATTTGAATAATCTGACGTTAAATTCGTAATCAGCGACTCCAAAAAACCCCATGATACCAATTTTTGTAAAAATCCAACTACTTTTTAAAAATTTGTCCGCCATATTGGATCCGCCATTTTGAATTTGAATAATCTGACGATAAATTTGTAATCAGCGACTCCCAAAACCCCTAGATACCAATTTTCGTAAAAATCCAACTACTTTTTAAAAATTCGTCCGCCATATTGGATCCGCCATTTTGAATTTATTAAATCTGACGTTAAATTCGTAATCAGCGACTCCAAAAAACCCCATGATACCAATTTTTGTAAAAATCCAACTACTTTTTAAAAATTTGTCCGCCATATTGGATCCGCCATTTTGAATTTGAATAATCTGACGATAAATTTGTAATCAGCGACTCCCAAAACCCCTAGATACCAATTTTCGTAAAAATCCAACTACTTTTTAAAAATTCGTCCGCCATATTGGATCCGCCATTTTGAATTTATTAAATCTGACGTTAAATTCGTAATCAGCGACCCCAAAAACCCCCGAGTAACAAGATTCAAGCAAATCTGCCATTATTTAAAAAATTTCTCCTGTCATATAAAATCAGCTATGTTTTTTGAGGTTATGTCAAAATCCTGACGTGATGGAGCTAAACGGACTTCAGATTCGTGTTCAGCGCATCAAAATACATCAAGAAATGATGGTCTCATTTCCCGGCCCGTGTACTTTTTTTTTTGTGTGGCTGTGTAATTCTTATCTTTACATAAATTGTCTATTCACGATGGCAGTAGAAAAGTATCTGCCTTTTCTCGCAAACATCTAGTGAAGGTCCCAAGGGTGAGGAGGGAGTCAAAATTTGCAAATTTAGGAAAGGGAAATCTTGACTCTCGATTGGTGAAAATTGGGATAAACCCAAAAGGCTCGAGCGTTGCCGTTTGCTCGGCCACATGCAAGACATATGGAAAGAGTGACTGTCTGCGTTTTACCTGGAAGCGTCCTAAGCAAAAGTTAGAAAGTAATAAAAAAAGGGAGTTGTTATTTTAAGTTTATAACTGACGTTTTTCTATTTATTTCGATGACATAAAATTATAAACGCTTCGACCGTACAGAGGATTAAGATAAAAAAGATCATTCCATAAAGCTTACAGAGATTTTCAAAGTCCTCACCCATGTCATCATAAACATTATTGTTCCTTATTAGTTAAGTATTTAAATTGCTTTACGCTAAATTATGATTTCTCAGTGAACACAAAAATAAAATTGAAAGTTTTAATAATATTCGACTCGACAAGAAAAGATGGAACAGTGTGCAGGATATGATTCAAATGAATTAGAAAAGGACAGAAATATCGCTCTTTTCTTTTCTACCTCATTTTAAACACATCCTGCACACTGCTCCGTCGTTTCTTGTGCGAGCACAAAAAGTAAAACGGTTTCGCAAGTAAAACGGTTCCCTTACCTTCACCTTTTCATTGGCTGGGGTGGGAAAGGAGAGGAGATCAAAACCTCTTCTCGCACCCCCGCACCCACCCAGCCGAACCAAAGATACCTTCCGGTTTCGTAACTGCGGAGCCTACTCTTCCTACTATTGCTCAGGGCTTGTTAGAAGAGAGAGGGGATCCAAATTCTTCTCCTCCCCCTTCTGCTTGATCCCTGCCGAGCATTTAGGCATCTCCCGGTCAACTCGGGTCTTCCGTCTTTATCTTTTGTCGACATAACCTTTATGACAAAGGTCTCGATATGTCTCCAGGAGTCCACACTTTGGAGCAAGTCAGAGACCATGGTATCGGGGTTGAATCTAGTCTCAACCGCCGTAAACATGGTTTCTCTATCCTCGCTTCAGTGCTCACAGGAAAATAGCGTGTGTACTGCGTCATCGATTTGACCCTAGTAGAAATTTGTCGTGGATGCACTAGATTGACTCAAGTTACTTGACAGTTTTTCTCGCGGACGCTGATTCTAGCTGAACTGATAAATAACTGTGAAGTTACTGATCAGTGCTTTTTGAAAGAAATTCAAGTTGAACTTGATAATTCCACGACTCAAAGCTATCCAGTTTTTTTAATGGCACTGTCCAGTGCTGCTCGAAATTAAATTCATATCCTTGTCATGGCGGTGGCGCTTCAATAAGTCTAGTAACTGGACAGCTATGCTAGGATTTTGTGTATTGACATTTCGCTTGCTTGATTTAAAAAAATTACAACTTGTTTATAAAAATTAATAATAATAATATTAATATTCCTTTCTCAAAAAAAGACAGTGCATACAAAACACATGAAAATGTATCGAAATATCTCGGTGGTCGAAAAAATTGAATTTAAGAAAAAATGAACTTTGCTTTCCAGAGCATCTAAATCAATATTCATTTTATGAAAATCACTGTAAATTATTGTTCCACATATATATTTTTTGCATAACTTATCTTATTGCAATAAATATACACTTGCAAAATATTATTTGTTGTAAATGTTTGCCAGCTGTCATGAATCAGAAACGAACATAACCTATATTTAGTTGAAATCACTTGATTGGCCCAAGACAAAATAGCGCGCGCTTTTTTAAAATAATAAAATTTATTAAATTATAATAAAATAATTGCAATAAATTAAATTATTATGAAAATAATATTACCTTGAATAAAAAGTGTTTTTAGTTTTTAAAAAAAAATGATTAAACAATTATTATTATTTTCAGACAAATTTTACAAATATAGTAGAATATTATTTTTCTGTTTGAGTATATTATAATAATATAATAATAATAATAATAATAATAATAATATTATATTATATCAATAATTATTAATTTATTAAAATAATTTTATTTATAAAATTTTACATATAATTTTTGAGGATAATAAATAAAAAAAATTAGTAATTAGTTTTTTATAATTGTCTAATGTTTAAATTAAATTATAAGTAAATCATTTAAAATCAAATAAACATCTAAAATGTTTATTTGCCTAGAAAATAATAAAAATAATATGCACAAATTCATAATATTATTAGGTACAGTGAAATACGTCAAGCATTTATTCTAATATCACTGATCAGAACGGCCGAGTTGCGTAAAGCGTGCGTTTCTTTCGTTCCCGCCCAGCGGACCCGTGTTCGCTCCCCGGTAGCCCCAAGATTTTTTCGTTGAAACTGCGAGAAGTGTTTTAAGGTTTATGTTATGACATTCATATTAATATAAAAATTATAATTGTTTCAGTGTTGTTAACAGTTCAGGTCAAGATGTTGCTTCAATCGTTTTACTTATGTAAATTTTTTTTTTAAATCCAGTTTAATTGTGAATGAAAAATTACATTTTTATAACGAATTACTATATTTAGTGCAATATATTTTCTTATAATAATTTTTGTTGATAATTGGAATATTTTTTTTAATTACATAAAATAAACGTGTTTACTACATTAAATCTTATTATTAAATGAATTTCGAAATATTTAAAAGAATTAATTTGACTAGTTTTTCAAAAGTCCTATTGATAAATAATTATCAAGTTGGGCTGGATAATAACTTGATGAAAAAAGCGTGACATGACATTCGAGTTTTTAGCTAGCTGGTCAGTCAAGTAACTAGACAGACTCCAGCGCGACTAGGCAGTTCCTTTAAAATAGCTAGGACAAATTTCTACTAGGGGAGCATGGCAGTACACGCATTTCGAAGCTTTTCTTATTTTAAATCTATGGAGGTAATAGCCGAAACAACCATGACCTGACATTGCTTGTGTCAGGTAATACCCAACTTCGCCGTGCTCTCTATCAAGCCAGGTGGCGAGGTTAGAAATCAAGCGGTGTGTCCACCTTCCTTTTGAATCCCCATCCCATCTCTCTTGCCATCTCTCAACGAGACGTTTCCTCGCTTCATTGCGAATAGCCGCCTTTAGGCTATTACAGTTTCCTTGATCCAGCGAGCCCGCTAGGTCCTTCCTTAGCCTGAAGACCTCTTGTCTTTTTCTCGTCAATAAATCTACTGGTGCAGTGCTCGCCAGAACTAGTACTGCACTCGTTGAAACCGTTCTGTAGGCTGAAACCACATACATACAGTTGCTTTGCTAGACCCGCGGTGGCCACCAATCGCCTTTTCTTTTCCCTGGATTATTATTCTAATTATTATTATTATTAGTATTATTATAATTAATATTACTGTATACTTAAGTACGTTAAGAAAATTAATATTTTTATAAGAAAGCAATATATTTAACAAAAAAAACAATAAATTCAATAGTGAAAATGTTTTTATATTGCTTTCTTAAAGTTTTCTTATTATTAAGCATTTTATATAAACGCGCTTTTTTCAACCTATAAGAGAGTTGTAGCGCAAGCGCAGTAGCGGTTAGAGGGGTCATTGGCAACTCTGGGTTAAATTGTTCCATTTTGGATGTTTAAAAATTGTCTGTTTTTTTTAAATTCTCTGAAATCTTTTAACTGCAAAAATCGCATTATTTTAAATAATCATAATTAGTGACAAAAAAATTTTCAAAATCCAAATTTTAACTAAAAGATTAAAATAAATTTTTTTTAATTTTTCAAAGTCTTTAATATTTTTTGAACTCAAAAAGTCAAGTAAAATTTTATTAAAGAACATTATGTATTGAAAATAATGTATATCATAATTTAATTTAAAATATTTTTATCTATAGATGCTGGCAAGTGCATCTGACAGTCAATTAGGCGGACGAGACATTGATACAATTCTCGCAGAATACTTTTGTAAAGATTTTCTATCTCGATACAAAATTGATGCTCATAATAACCCACGAGCATACTTAAGATTACTTACTGAAGTGGAGAAAATAAAAAAGCAAATGTCTGCTAACTCTACAACACTTCCACTGAATATAGAATGTTTCATGGAAGAAAAAGATGTGCATGGTGAAATCAAACGAGGAGACATGGAAACAATGTGCTCGCATTTGTTCAAACGGGTTGAATCTACTCTCAAACAATGCCTTGCTGATTCAAGTAAGATAACTGAAAAGAAACTTTTTATTATAGATAGTAAATGAGAATAGAAAATTAATGAATAAATTCATTTAAAAAATTTTTTAATTTATTTTTTAGTTTGGTAGGTCAATATTTCATCTAAGTCGGCAGCAATTTAGTTCTTCAAAATTATAATTTGCAGTAGTGTTTTTTTTAGAGAAACATGAAAAAATATAAAACTTGGGGAATTTAGACATTCAGTTTGAACAGTAATTATTTTTTTCAGAATTAAAATTAGAAGATATTCATTCCGTGGAACTAGCTGGTGGTTCCAGCAGAACCCCAGCTATTAAACGTTTGATTGAAGAAGTTTTTGGTAAAGGAACATCAACAACGCTTAATCAGGACGAATCAGTAGCTCGTGGTTGTGCACTTCAGTGCGCTATGTTAAGTCCCGCTGTTCGTGTTAGAGACTTTTCTGTTACTGATATTCAGCCGTACCCCATAAAACTTATGTGGGATCCAACTCAAGGAGAAGAGGGGTGAGTTTACTTCAATTATAACTGAAACCATCAATAAAATTCTCTATAAATAAGAATATGATCGAACTAAATTTAAATTTGAAAGTCGAATATCAAGTGACAAGGAGACTCCTCTTTCGGACGAAATAAATTTATGTATACTGCTGCGGTTCAACCATGTTTACAACTTTAATTTTTATACACTGATTATTAACACAGAATATTCCAAAGCAGTAAAATTAGGTTTAAATTACTACAAATGTATTTAGTTTTTTTTTCTTTACAGAAATAAATAACTATTCTTTTTTTAGGCAAATGGAAGTATTTGGATATAATCATCCGGTTCCATTTTCAAAAATGCTTACATTTTACCGTTCAGCACCGTTTTCATTGACAGCTGACTATATTCATCCACCGAAATGTTATCCCCAAGTCAAGCTTGGTATGTATTTTATTTATTTTATATTATCTTCATTATTCATTTAAAACTAGGGTAATACTCCGTCAGAAAAAAAGCGATTTGTAAATGGTCTTCCGATTTCTTTGAAACCTTGGGAAATAATAGTCTTATATGAGTTAGATTTAACCCTAAATGGCGGCCACTACGCTATGTTGAAGATTAGTGTGGCGTTTTTTTTTTTTTTTTAATATCTCCGAAATTTTTTGATCGATTTTAATAAAATTTACAGGCGAAATAGTTAAAAGTACGTAGTTTAATTTTATATTATGACCAAAAAAAATTTTTGAGTTAATTTTTATTTCATTTGGCCTAATTTTTGAATTTTTGTATCTATTCTTTAATTCTCACTGAAAATAGTTAATATTAAAAACTGAAAAGTGCTATTTGATTGTGATATACTTTTTATATTATTTTTCATTTTTGTTAATTCTCTGTTTTTTGTTTCGATAGTTTTTTTTGCTTGTCTTTCTGAGTGTTTCTTTTATTATTCATTATTATTTCTTTATTAGTTTTGAAATATTGCTCCTTTTTAAAGGGATTGAAGCAAATGTACCTTGGCATTGTAATGAAATAATTATCACTCTAGGCGAAGTTAAACTTAAACACTATCTAAAATTACTCATTACAACTAAATAAAAAGAATAATAAAAGAAACACTCAGAAAGAAAATCAACAAAACTTAAAAAGTATCGAAACCAAAAACAGAATTAACAATAATGAAAAATAATATAAAAAGTATATTACAATTAAATAGCACTATTCAGTTACCGATAATATAGATCGGACGGTGGAGTGCCTTGGCTTGCGATCACTGAGGTTAAGTACAGCTGAGTACGGTTAGTGCTTCGATGGGTGACCGTCTCTGTGCTCGCTATAGCCCTGGTGTTTTTACTGTGATCGAGATATATCAAGCGGGAGGTTCGACGTCGAGGATTTGTTTGTACATTTGTGATGATTATCCAAATATACATTTGCCAAAAGTCCAGGCAAATGCGAGTGCTGCTAATAAAAGTCGGTCAACAGCCACAATTTAAAAAAAGAGTTTGTGAGTTTAAAGATTTAAATAGAGTTGTGAGGAAATTGTAAAGACCCCTAAGGGGTATACAATGAAATCAATATGAATTAGCACTTTTTAGTTTTTAACATTAACTATTTTCAGTGAGAATTAAGGAATAGATACAAACAAAGCTGCTTTATGAAATACACTGAGAAAAAAAGCTGCCGCGACGGCTGGAAAGTCATGCTATTGTAATAGGAGTTGCACTGCCATTGGAACACTGCCGTTTTAGCATTATGATACTGCGAACGCTCTGTATAACAATGCTAAATGTCAATATTTCATGTTAAAACCGCATTTTTCTGTTGTCAGTTGTAACTCATGCCAAAGTAGCATGGCTTTACCACTAAAACGACAGTTTTTTTTAGTGTATAGTCACAGTGTGAGGTGGTCTGTGCACGTTTGCCCCCCCGCTTCATATTCTGCCTCGTCACGGAGTATAATTGCGCGGCACACGCTCTCACTAAAATCGCAATATCTCGAGAACTATTAAAGTCTCCAAAATTTTATTTTTAAAATGAAAGGTGAAATTATAAGGAATCGATATTTGCTTATTAGAAAGTTCAAACATTAGGCCAAATGAACTAAAAATTAACTCAAAAATTTTTTTTTTGTTATACCCAATTAATTGTCTTACCCACATTAATTAAATATTTTAAAGAACCATATTAAAAGGTGGTTTTTTAGTCTTTTTTGTTGATTTTTTTTCAAAAGAATACATGATTTAATTAAATAAAACTTTATCGTCTTTTTATTCGTGTTTTAAATTACATTTCTAATTTTTTTAAAGTATTTTTCTTAAAAAACTTATAAGTTTCTTCACATCAAAGTTTGCTGTCTGGGTTTATTGCTATGACTAACTATATTAGGAACTTGAATTTTAACTGATATTTGGTATTGCTAAAATATATACCAAATTAAATTAAATTTTTGATATTTTTTCAATCCGTTACGTTTTATTTATTTACACAAAGATCCCGCAGTCTATCTTCGACCATAAATGGTTAACAAAAAGATGATTTATTGCTGATTAATGTATTTCAATTAATGAATATAAATAAAATGTTTCTATTAAAAATGAAAGAAAAATTGAATCATTCTATGTAAGAAAAGTGTTACTGCAGTTTGCAAATTTCGCAGTTTTTTTTGTAAATATTTATTTATTTGTGATATTCCACGACAAACGGAACAGAGCTATAGCCAAAAATGTTTTAATAAAAAAAAGGGTTTAAGGGCTGAAAAAACTTGTACACTTTTGTACTTTTAAAAACAGATGGGCGATTTTAGAAATTCAATATGGCGGCACCTGGAGGTGTGATATAAGTCGCCAATTTCACGATGCGACAAACACAAACATGAATAAATTTGAAAATTTTAAATGGCGGTCGATTTTGTAATAATTCAATTTTTTTCCTCGAAATTTGTTACTGGGGATTTTTGGGGTCGCACACTGAGAAAAATGTTTAGTCAGAGCAACCAAAATTTGGTTGGGCCAACAAAAAAATTTTGTTGCTATTTAATCCACCGTACTATTTGATTGAGTCAACCAAAAAATATGGTTGAGTGTTTTTTGTTGCCAAAACAAAAATGTTTGGTTAGCTCAACCAAATTTTTTTGTTAGGTCAACAAAAATGTTTGGTTGATCAGACAAACAGTTTTTTTGTAAAATTAAAAATTTTATTCTATCTTATTCCTTTTCTTTTTATCTTTTTTATTTATTTAATTATTTATTTATCATCAATTTAACATTGAATTGACACTAATTGACCCGTGGAACTGCCGTCAAGCTTTGGTCTTCAGAATTATTCTAAGTTTGATTATTCAAATTAAACGCTTGTATTTGAAGAGCAAGTGTCATGTGATGTAACGTTCTCATCTGTTTCCGAGAGTCGCTTATCCTCTCGTATCAGCCTTGCTATGAGAGTTTTCATTTTCCTCTCTGCTTTGGGAGTGCATTCCCATTTGAAGAGCTACCGATTCTCCGTCTTTAATTTTAAAATCGTAAAATTGTTGCCACGTACTTTGCTTTGCATCTTAACTACTATCCGCATATAATACAGAAAGTTTGTCCCAAATTTGTTTTGGAGTTGTACAGTAGGGTGCCTCAAAAAAACCCGATTTTTGAATTTCTGTAACGCTACCTCAAAATAATGTTTCTTGGGGAAAAAGAAAAGATACGTATTTAAAAAAAATTTTTTTATTAATATTTAGAAGTCGCGCTAGTCCGTTTTTCATGAAAAATGGATTTTTACAATTATTGACTTGTTAAATATGCAAAACCGAAGCAAAAATATTCGGGCCTTTTATAAATTTACTCTAATGGTATCACCAAATGTAAAAGTTGTGTAAAATAAATAGATATATATATATAATTTGAAGGTTATTACAGACCTGAAAACATGTAAATTTTAAATTTAAGTGTAAAAATGGGTCCAAAAAGTCAATAAATCTTATTTTAACTAACTCTAATTACTATGACTTTGTTGTGTAAATAAAGGACTTTTAATTCTCTTATATGGACCAGAAAAAATTTAACCTTTAAAGATAACATATGCGTTTTACTAGTACCGAAGTTATTTTTTATTGGCGATTTTTTAAATAATAAGTTTAAAAACATTATTTAGTAGTTACCCGAGACGTTAATAGCAAATCAAATGTCAATTTTTCAAAATTCAAAATGGCGAATCCAATATTCTTTGCTCGAAGTCGTGACTGCTGTTCTCACAGCTCTGAGTACTGTGTAGAATTATTTTTTAGAATTTAGAAAACAAAGGAACGTTTAACGTCAATTAAAAGGAAGATAGCCATGGTTATTTTTTTTGTCAATTATTGATTTTAATTGTCATGTTTATAAACAGTTAATGAATAACAGAAATAAAGAAATGAAAACTTTAAAAAATCTTTTTAAAAACTATCGGTTTTAAAATTTTTTTTTTAGTTATATGGGTGATTTGCAAATAACTGTCATTTTTGAAGCGAGATTTTGTCCCGTCAAAAAAGGAAACCAAATTTGATTTTTATTACATAGTTTAGTTCATTTTGGTTATTATAGTTTATGTTTAAAAGGAATCTACAATATCTCAAATACTTTGAGAGTTACAATAAAAAATAAAAAAATAACATACCACGGTCCTGACAGTTGCACCAGGGTTCTGAGAAATAATTGAAACTCATCAAATTTATTGCTTACAATATTAATTTATTAATAAAATTAACTTCTTTGAATTATAATTAACATTGGTTATGTAATTAGTCTTTGGAAACAATATTTTTAAATAATTGAGGTAAATATAATATGAAGCGTTAATCATTTCTTCAGATTTCTGGCACTTCTTCTGACTGCCTGTGTCGAAATTTTCTTTACTTTTTTTGGATTACTGTTTGTAATTTCTGATTTCCTTTTAATTGATCCTGACTTTTTATTAGAAGAGAAATTCAATGATCCTTGAGAGTAGTGTGAACAGATGCTTCCTGGACTGCATGTAGCACAACTGAGAAAATTAAACTGTATCACAAAAGAGTTTTCTTTCTTCCAAGTATATTGATGGACTTTCCTAGTACCAACAAAATTTGGTATTTTATCAGGTAATATCGAATCGATTTCTTCAATATTGTTCAACTCCACGTGAGAAAAAATCAAACTCTTTATCAAAATAAATTTTCATTTCTAATCCACTGATTGATTTTTTTTCTTTTTTGGTAATTTGCACTGTTATGAGCTTCTTAGTTTTCTGGTTAATCCTTTCTTCCTTTTTGGAAACCCATTTAGTGTAAGTGACTTCTGGTAATTCGTTCAAGATAACAGTGTTTAATTTTAATTTTTTTAGTGAACAGCCTTCACATTTCCTTGAAAAACATTCGGTCGAGCTTCTTTCACATAATAAACTTGCGAACACCTTATCTATAGAATTCTCTTGCAGAATAT